AATAGAACATAACCGAAGGTTCAAATTTTCTAACGCTTCGAGGATATGTGCTTGATATTTTGAAGCTCGGACTAGTCTTCCGTGCGAAACGTTGGAATTATTTGATTTCAAACCCACTCTGACTTACACAAATACAATGTATATCTAACGTCAACCTTTTACTCTGTGCCCAATATTTCTCATGCTATACGATCAAATTTTGATCATAGTTTATATAAAAAAATCTCCACCATTAGTTCACAGTTTTCATTATCATTATATCTACTCGTGCATACGCGTCAGTTGTTATCTCCGCTTGAATAATGGTTGGGTTACTATCACTCTCACTTCAAGATATGAAGTGATCGATATTCTCAAACTTTTGACACTCCTCTGAACCTTCACCGTACCTATGATTTCAGCAATCACTGAAATCTTTGTAAAACTGGGGCTTTATGAATATAAACATCGGTTGAATCGTTTACAACAGTAGACTAAGTTTCTCGAGAAATCTTGAAGTTCTCTACCATTCTTTTTTCATAGCATTGCATGGAAATTTCAATTTGTTCCTTGGAAACAGTCATGATTTATATCCTCACATAAAGTATTGATTTATTATTTACCCGTCAACTTGTCAATATATATTGTGTTTGAATGATTTTTTCATAGACTATGTAAAGTTGGGAACTGAAACGCCTACCAGATTTTCAACGAATGATCGGCTAGATTTCATTTGAGTGTGTTGGTCATCACTAAACTAACTTTGCTGAATAAAAAGCTGTGAACCTATTGTTATACACTAGGTGATGATTGAAGGTGAAATAAAAATTTGGGCCACATTAAGATTCGAACCAGCGACCACCCGGTTTCTGCCGAGGTGCTGAAGTACGAGACTCGATTGCTGACCACATTTTTATTTCAGTGTGACTAGCATGGGTTATGCCCGATTATTACGTGAATTTGTGACGCTTTACTATCGTTTGGTTGTACTCATACTGTCTACACAGACATGACTTCTCATCCTAATCCAAATATACTTGAATTCGAGAGAAGGAGAATTATCTTGATTTTAAATCTGACTATCTGAGATATCCGTGGTTCGGGAGACTTGTATGATTGATATTGAGTAGTGATTGAAGGAGGACTGGTATTTTGAATCGTGGTGGGTTTCGAACCACCAACCATCTGGTTTATTGTTATAAGCTATGTACACTCGATAAATGAAACGCCTATTAAATACTCAATAGATGGTCAGCAAGAGTTTATCTGATAATACATACCATATAATTAATGTTTTGGTAAGTAAAAACTTCATACTGAAGTTAGTACTAATGATGTCGTCCAGAAAGACGATAAAAGCTTCATGATTAAACAAACCAGCTCAGAGAACACATTACAACCAAGACCATCCACTTGAGCTACAAATATTCTCCATTATTTGAAAAACTAAGGAATTATTATTTGTACAGTCTGTCTCATTGAAGTTTCGAAACTTCTCAGTGTTGGATGATAGTTATTTTAAGACATGAAGATGATAAGTTGAACATTAGTGTATCGCGCTTATAAGATATACTTTTATAGATATATTGGTTTGTAATGTAAGTTATTCTTTTCTTCCATAGTCAAGTTCAAGTATTTTCAGAAATAACTTAATGCATAATTTTTCGTTCATTGATTACACTACATAGATTTTGTAATTATTCTTCAGTTTTCATCCATATTAACTACATCAGGTGGATATTTCAATGAAGAACTAAAATTTTTGAGTGAATAAAGTATATTCTTTTTGATAACTTCTTCAGGTCCTATAGTTATATGTACATGTTGAGGTGTTATACGCCAACAATATTACAATTTCGCTTATCGGTTTGTTAATAAGTAGTATAGAGTTAAGGAAATCAATTCAGAAAAGTCTTTTGTGAACGTTAATAAAGGAATAATTATTACTGGGATTCGATTCAGAATAATTCATTATCAAGCCATTATACGGTGTAGGTAAGGCGATAGTTTAGACTAAGAAAAGAAATCTGAGGAATAACAGTTTGACAAAACGATACTCATGTTAAGGGGAACAAAACAGGCTAAGAGAATTTGTTAAAGTTATTTCAGATTATAGGGAGGAAGAGGTAGGAAATCAAATTAATTGGGGTTGAATGTTAAGGCATTTGCACAGTCCCATTCAGGTCACGGTAGTTGTAGTAAGAACACTTGGTTTTTGGAACACAGAAATCCAGCTGCTTCATCCTGATTGCTACTGATTCGGCAATTTAAAGAATCTTAAGGTGGGTGCGTTTTAGCAAGTTGATAAGGAAGCGATACAGAATGGAAAACGATTTATTCATAACCACTTTATAGTTCGTTTCAGCAAAGTGTTTCAATATTCTTTACCACATCTTTGTTTAACCACGGTGGGAGGTGTTCATGACCATTGGCCAACGTAACTGGCTGCATATGAGCAGTAGAACTGATAAATACAATAAGAAGTGACCAGTTCAGGAAGTTCATCTCTCAATGTCACAATTCGGCTCGTGGGAAGCGAAATTTGTAATTTATGAACATTAAAAGTCCTCTGAATTGATTTGCATAGTTTATGAATTAATATCTCACTGAACATATCACCTCTAAACTGTATCCGAATGCTAGCAGTTAGAATATCGTTTGTCAGTGTTTTTGTAATGATATATTTCATTATGAATTAATCAGGATAGCCATTCTCAATCAGTCTGTTGCTCAAAGTCATCAGTTCCTACTCAGTTGTATTTTCAGAGTACGTAAACTAAATTCTATAACTTACTAAATTTCATTTGCACTGAAAGAAGACGAAGTTGAGAAAATGTTTGCATTGTCCTTTTCAGTCCACTTACTTTTTCTAAACAAATTTCACTCTAACTACCCATTTTTTTTTTCGTTTATACAGAAGAATATCAAGAAAAGATGGTTTATCTCCTGACTCTTCTTCCTATGTACACTTCATCACAATTCTTGTTATGATGAGTGTTGTTACCATGTCAAAACTAATTTAGGTGCTGTTACTTTAAAAAGAAAGTCATGTCAATTTATCATTCTCTAAATATGTTTACAAAGATTTATGTACTTCTGGGAAAATCTCAACAAATACTAAATTTGAATATGATTTATGATGTTGAAAACTCTGTTATATATGCTGGAATAAAAGTTTTTAACTCTGAAAAAAATTGACTATGCTATTTAAGAGAAGTAAAAAAAACAGATGGAAGTTTTCAGAATACAACCTGTCATTTTTACTGACATGAGAACTATTTAAAATAGTAATTTATAATGATTTCTGTCAAAATTTCTAATTTTATAGTCAAATTGAACTTCGATTGACCTATTTGCATATATGTTGTTGAGCAATTAAAGAAGTATACTATTGAAATAGTCTAAGTAGGTGTGATCTGTTCTAAATTTTTTTCTTTTTGCGGTAAATCAATTTTCATATCACCTAATTGGTCAGAGAATCACATTCCCTCTATTCTGAATTGAACAGATAACATGCTTCATTTTTTATCTGAATGGAATGGGATTCATGGAATAGTTCCTGGTTGTGTACTTTTGCCATTTATACATTTTTCCTTATGTCGGGGTTTATCTTTCAAGTTGTCAAGGTGTCAGTCAGTTGTCATTGGATGAATGGGGAAGATTAGTCTCAGCATCGATGCAAAGAATGTCCTGTCTAGAGTATTTCGTATCATTCTTTTTAGAATGACAGTGGCAAAGTCAAACTTGAAATTAAGATTCATACAAAGAATCTTTTTTTGTACGATGGAAGGGTTGCGTTTACGAGGTTTTGACTTGAAATTTGGTGGGTATTAATTTTCAATCAGAATATTCCTTCAAACACGAATTGCCTGTAGCAGTACATCAGGACTTCAGATTCATGTGATTCGGGTGGTAAGAAATATGATTTGATTTTGTATATGATTAATAGGGATCTGGCTATGAACGTTCTTCTGCTGACCGCTGCAAATCGTTTTTCCATTAATTCATCTTAAAGTTCCAGCTGTCTACTGCTGACTGTCAAACCCTGATACAGAAAACGTATAAATGTGCAATTGTACATGTTTTAGGTTGAAATCGCCAAGATGAGATTCTTCATTGGAGTTTATCATGTATTTGTATTTGTTGTTGTTTGCGGGAGCGGTGTAATTACCAGGTTATCGATAAAGTACCTCATTAGCTGGTCGCATTCACTACTTGTTCTCTTATTCCAAAAGTTATACATTTCGGTTCATCAAATTACCTTTTATCTCTTATCATTTCAGATAAAAGTGTTGTCATGGAAAAAGAATCATTTAGTGTGAATGAGAATCAACCCACATTTTGTTTTGTAACTGCTTGCGAAGCAGATGAATATACATTTGTAGGGAGGGATTTTTGACGTATTTTTTTCTGACCTTAAAATGCCTTCCCAATGAACGTTCACAATTACTTATTTAGACTATATCAAAGTAGTTGTTGTTCCCGATGTTCTAGCTTATTTTCTCCCATTGTTGGTTCTTTTGAATGCAACCATGTGTCCTATTTCCTTCTATTCACAACTATTCATCTTAGGCAGTAGTTACTGTTTTTCAATCGTCTCATATTTGTTTATGAAATCATCAGGTTATTGTATCGTTATGTCAGAATTTTGTCGCACCCACGTTTTACTCTGATTCTACTTTCATGGGCATCATGTTGTAGAGATAGCGGCGACCGATATCCTAATTATTTGAATCTATGAAGGTTTATTGGTTCAACAAGTAGTCCATAATCTATACCCTATATTAAATCGTCTACTACTGATCATTGGCTTCAGCAACACAAATTTTCATGTTTTCGTAATTGAGAATACACTAAAATGGTAAATATATTGTAGTTTCTTTGTAAAAGGAATTCATAAATGCAAAGTGATGTCGATTTGTCACTTACATCCTAGAATGGCTATATTTCAATAAATCTTATCTTTCAAAACTTATTTTTTTTCTATAGTATATCTTTTGTAAATCTTACTTTTTTTATAGTTCATGGGTTTCACTGCATCCAACTAACTTAGTACTGGATATTCTGAGTTCATGTGCTCATCTATTGTACTACCCGTATAAAAATGGCGAAGAAGATTACAAGATTGCATTGACTAAGTAAGATTTAAATATATTTTTTCATCTTGTTTCTTTTTTCCCTGTTGTTTTTTTTTTGGTATGCCAAAGAACTTCATTTGACTGCTGTCTATTCATAGAATTGTAGGCAAATATTTTTCGTAAAAGTATATTATGCTTACCGTAAATTCTTGACATTTTGTGACTTCTACAAACAGATGGTAACTACATTGGAATGTTGGGTGATATTGAGTTGATGACTTATCGCTAATCCTCATAGGTCTCTAATATGGTGTCTAACTATTCGATACTTTATACTTAGATTAAAATATGTCATCATTGGTTAGTGGTTGCTTGATGTTCAGCAATGGATCTATTCAGACACTTATCATTCCTACTGTTAACGTCTCTTTGTACATAATCATATTCGTTAAATATCTCTTTCTATCTTTATTTGTACTGTTTTTTGAAGTTTTGCATGAAAAGTTTCACAGCGTTCATCACTAAATTTTACTATATACTTTACTTGATATATTCTGAGCAATTTCATTGATGAGCTAGCAGTCATAAAAGTGAGTCATCAGTTTCATAGCAATTATTATTATTTATTTCTCCCTTGGACTCCTAATGGAACATAGCGTTTCAGTAACACGTCTCCAGTGAACCCTGTTCTCTGCAAACTTTTGAACCTGGTTCCACGTCAGCCTACAACCTCTCATTTCTTCCTCACACGATAATCTCCATGTCACTCTCGGACGCCCAACTCGTCGCTTCCCATTTGGGTTCTACTCGAGTACCTGGCCTGACATGTGATGTCCCCAATCGACCTTCTCACTGTCTTCCCAATCAATCTCCACTTCCTTCCGAGGCATATTTGTTGAGTGATAGGTTGTTGGTTGGTTCGTTGACAGGCAGCCAGAGTTCCTTGTTGATGAATGCCTATAGTTTGTTGACTTTGAAGTTTTTTTAGCGGTTGGATTGGTTTTACGGGTAGTGTTACTAGCCCTACGCCCAACCTTCCCTCTTTACCCGAGTTTAGGACCGGCTAGTAACTAGTGAACTAGTTAACCAGGCAAGGTTTTCATAGCAATGAACAGAGTGAATATTTTTAAGGAATCCGAAGAAGGTGTTTTCTAAACAATTGTTTCACTCAAACAAATATGTCAAAATTTCTAGGGCAGCAGGTAATCATTTTACATTTACTCTAGAACCTAACCTTCAAAATATCACTTAGCACTTGCCTGAATATTTGGATCGTTAATCCTAACTCCAAAGGTTGATATCCTAAATACTCCATGACTTACATTGTTGAGACTCCTTTATTGTAGTATTTGATAGTTGACTACTATAGTAGTGTATGCGATTGATTCTAGTATTCACGATTATTCATCGTGAAAAAGCCAAGTTATTAAATAAGAAGAAAGCGTGTACAACTTCCATCAAAATGCTTTGATAAACATCTATGGTGTATGTTTGCTGTGGCTTTTCGTCTGATTGCGTTTATTTATTCTTTGGCGTAAATATCAAGTTCCTTTGAATGCTATTATGCCTTACACATCCAAATAAATCGCCATTCTCTTGTTTAGATTATTAGTATAGAAATTTGATACGTTGTCTTGTGAAAAGGTTGCGTGAGAGCGTCATCGTGACTGGCTTAAAACTGAATATCTTAAACGTTTAATAATAACAATAATAATAACCGCTTTATTCCACACAAATCAACAGGAGAAACCTAAAGGAAACAGCCTACTTAACCTATCTAGGCAGCACTGTTTCAACTACAGGCGGCACAGGCACAGACGACGACGTCAAAGTCAGGATCGGAAAAGTAAGATAGGGGCTCATTAACCTGAAACCAGTGTGCAGATCTAATGCACTGCACTCAGCCAGCATAAGGGTGAACAACATCCGGATTTTCAACACCAACCTCAATCAAGTCAGTGCTTGTGTATGGTTCAGAGCCTTGGCGCGTCACGAAAGGGATTTCCAACAAACTACAGACATTCATCAACAACTGTCTACGCTGGCTCGATACTGAAGATGAGATGGCCAGAATAATAAGAATAAGCAAGAAGGAAGTTTGGTTGGCTGGCTGGTAACGGACCAACGAAGAAGCTATCGCTGAATAAATATGCATTGGGAGGAAGTGGAGATGGATTGGGAATACACTGAGAAGGCCGACTAGGGACATCACACGCCATGCCAGGCCCTCGAGTGGGACCCAGATGGGAAACGGTGAGTTGGGCGTTTGAGGCGAGGGTGACATGGAGGAGACGGTGTGAGGAAGAAATGAGAGCTTGTAGGGAGTCGTGGAGCAAGGTTCGAAAGATTGCAGCGATCTGAGTGGAATGGAGACGTGCTACTGGGATGGTTTATTCCATTAGGAACCCAAGGGACAAATAATAATAATAATATTCCACACAACCTATATGATTATCTAAGTAAGGTTTAATATAATCTCAGCGTGTTTAGAAAATTGAAACCAAGGGGAGAATTCAATGAAATATTGTAGGTGAAAAATGTTTTGGTACCCTATAATTCCCTATGATACCCTATGACGTTTAGTTATATTAGGCTCCAAGTGTATACTTGATAAGGGGATATTTGTTGTTTGACTTCTGAAAAACGACTACCATGATAAATTTCGATAAATTTCCTACCCTTATGCTTTGCCAAATGATGTTTCAAGTTTCTGCTTAGATCAATTGATCAGAAGAAGTTCAAAAACTGATCCTGTTGCTTCATTTCAGTTTGTCTAAACATATTTCATCTGAAGTGAACTTTAATTGGACAAGGAAGAAGTTTTCTCAAATAAACTACTTGTTAGAAAGGATCCAACTTCCAGCCTGAATGAAATTACACAAGCAACAGATGGTTTTTATTTCTCAATTTGATTTGTAAAAACAGCTATATTACCAAGTAAAATCATTCTATAACACTGCATAATAGCGTTCTTAATTGGGTTATTAAACTCTTAAAAGGTGACCATTCATTAGTTCAAAGATATTTAGTATTTGCTTCACATTGAAAGTTTTTCAAACAGATATACAGACTATTTTCATACATTAGATAAACAGAGAATAAATGGGATCTTAGTAGTACAATACCTTTTTATTTGCTGTTAATTATCATTTATTATTTTTCCCCTTATAATTTAGATTATATTTGGAGAATCAAATGTTATCTCACTTTATTCATGGAATATGCAATGTTTGTAATTTAACTAAATCACATACACCTTCGAAACATAATACTGATAATACACAATCAGATGACTCTAATCGTAACAATTCAATTACACTACAATCCTTAGAAAATGATCCAGTTCTCCTATCACATACTCAATCTATTCTGGTGATTGCATTTAAACTCTGTTGTGATCCAATTAATTTACATGGTATTGATAATAAAGATGAGATTATTCATCAGTATGGTGTTTATGATTTAGTTAATGAAGAAGGTTTGACATGTCGAAAAATTTTAGGTAAACAATTAATCAATCTACTGTTTGGATCTGATCTCGATGATTATGAACCTGAAGTGAAAGCGGTAGGTAAAAATGTTGTTTGTTCACATACTAGTATTACTACTATTATCATTATTCGAGTTGATAAAATATTTTAATGATTCGGTTCATATTGAGAAAATTTAGTTGGACACTGGCTAAATCCACACTGCCGTTACATATATATATAATGGGTTTTGATCACATATGTCTTCGCAGCATTGTTTTCACCTAACGGAATGACCGTGTTAGTAATGTTCAGGTAAGGAGAAGGGTACTAGGCAAAATAGGTAATTCGACTGAGACGACTTGGAAATTAACTGAGCATGCCTAGTCACTGCTAACCTCGATACGCGATACCAGGGCAAGTTGAATTAAGTTGGAAGAGTGTTTAGAGTGGTCATCATGTTGATCTGAACCATGAGAAAAAATGTAGACTGCCGGAATGGGGTCTCCGAGACGATAGAAATCAAGCATTGGGGAATCTTGGTGACGTGACTGTTAGTCGCCAGCACTGGAGGAGATGTATTCACTCTTTGACATCTTCTAAAAGTTGAATATTTTCACTATCCGTTATCTTCAGATTGTTTATTTTTGTCCACTTTGATATCACTTTTTCTTTCCCTCTTATTTTTTGTGTACTACTGTAAAGTGTGACAACTTGAGATAATGCATTTGTGTGCGATGTTCAGTTATTTTTTCAGTCAGTCAAGAGGTGATTAGTTTCGTGTTACTCACCTTCTGTGTGAATAACATTTTCTTTGTAGACCTTACACTGGGAAATGTATCGAATTGTACTCAACAGCCTAGTGCACATTCGTGTAGTTAGCAATGACCCGCACCTATTGTGTGAGGGCTAGTAGTACTACCTGGCTGTCAAAACCTTGAAGTTGTTGTCGAACTCGTGACGCATCGGTTGAAAGCCATGTCACCAAAGCTCCACTATTGGGATATGTGCATGAAGACGAAATACTCTTAATTCCTGCGGTGAACCAATCATGCATGCTACTAGTGTTTAGATTAGAAAATAGTTGATGTTAAGCATTTTGAACTTACTAAACCACAAAAATGTAGGAGATACCGTACCAATACCTGTTTTGTTTTGATACTCTTTATCACACCACACCTACTAACCTTCAAGAGATTGCACGCAGAATATTCAAGTCTCTTACAGGAGTTATCATTCAGTTACTGTCTTGAAATCTAGCAGTCCACATTTTTCTATCCTGACCAGTCTACAATGTAGCGTGGCTATCGTTGAATGTTACTAGTGGCTACTTAAGTTCTCTTATCTTTTGCCTGTTCCCATAGGTCATGGCTCCTTGTTAGGACTTCCAGAAATCTAACTTGAATTTACCCTCTACTGGGTGCTTAATGGCATCTAAGTTGTTTAGTCCAAGAGGAGTTTATCTATTCGCTAGCAGAATGACCTGATTTGGGGGAAGAAATATGGTGTTACGCATGGTGTTAGATTTATACAAGCTTATTCGGACTTTCATGTATACTCGACCGCATATTTTTCGCCAAATGAGTCGAATTTAGCTCCTAAATACTTCTAATCTAGTTCTGCGTGAAACATCTATTTGAGTACTTCTTTGTGATGAAGTAATTTACTAAAGCATATATTCGTCAATATATGTTACTATGGGTAGAACATCTCAGAATTATTTCCGGTAAGAATACAATATATGTTGAGTAATGAAAGGAAGTTACTTAATAAAAATGAGGATTTATAGTACGGAAATGAACAAGGGATTATGAATTTAAAGAGTATAATTAGGAAACGCTGCAATAATCTATAGCAGTTAAAGTCTTATGATCTCCATGGCAAAGACAAAGATTGAAAGTAACTTTTTTAGGCAAAGCGCTGGTTGGCATATCTGGTTGACGTAGTGCTTCAGTCACTCTCTTGATCCAATCCTGTCGAGGATTTTGAGTGAGTTCTTAAAACGAGCTGGATGACCTGAACTTCCAACGTGTTCTGTTATTGAGCCAATGATATATTTCTGTTCTCCCTTTGTCAGCCAGACTGGGTAGTATTCACGAGGGCGTTTTACAAGTATATTTACATACCAGTTCATTTACTCCGTACCACGTGTCCACTAGTTGCAAGTATTTTTGTATTTTTATTTGAATATCATACTTTGGTCCATGTTAATAGGTTTTTGTACATGCAAGGCTGATCAATCAAATTGAGAAAAATACCTGTTTTACAGTCCAGTTTAAATCTATAAATATTTAGGTTGCCTGCTTGATATTCTCTAATCTCAATGATAATAATAATCAACTGGTTTTTCGGCCTCACTTTTAATTAATTACCTAATCTATCCGACTAATTTGTGATTGGGAGAAATGAATGCTGAGAACCAGATATTCAGTGAAGAGACTCTTTTCAACGAATTTATTTTCAAGCTGTACAATCGTATACATATGATATTTGAAAAAATTATATCCCATGAGGAAAACTAAACACTAAATGATGATGATGACAATAATAATAGAGTGGATGATGACATAGGCATTTATGATTATAATAACAATTGAAGTGCGAATCATAACAAATAGATTATGTAATATATGGAGTGGTACATAGAGAAGGGGTGAAAAAATTGTTGAAAATAGTAAATCAATTAAGTATTATGTAATGGTATTAGACTAGTTGGACAAGATGAAGTCAATGTTTTCTAAAAGGATTAAGATAATTAAGTGAAATAACACCGAAAACTAATTAAAGTGAAGGCGATTATAATACCAATAATGGTGATAAAGGAAGGATACAGAGGTTAAATTAACCAAGTGGGAGGGGGAGCTAATGGGGTGGGAAAATGTTATGGCCATGGTAAAGACAGTGACTGCACATACTTCTTTTGTACACACAGATCAGGTCTTAGTTCATGAATAGCTAAAGCCTCCGCTGTTTTATGGAGTTGGAAACGAAGAGAACGTGAGAGGTTTGGACGAATTTGATAAATAATTTCAAAGTCATCGTCTGGATTTGTTATGTGATGGAAGTCAATCAAATGTTCTAGAATCGAACTTCTAACAGACTTTCTTTCACCTTTATAAAACCAAGCAGGAACATGTTCTCGTATACATGTAGAAAGCATTCTGTGGCTACGGACGATGTACCTTGCTCCATAAGAGCAGGTGAACTGGTAGGTGCACATAGAGACGGCCAAACGAGGAAGCTTGTCTTTAAGGCAGGTGGAGAATAGGTTGCGGCTGGTAAAAGTCAACAGAAGTTGTGCTGCGAAGAAAGTCCTATTGATTGATTGATCTGCTAAGACAATTCTTCAGTACATCCGATGGTAGGTCACCTTTAAACTCTAGGCTCATAAACAATCTTTTGTTTGAGACCGGGTGGATGACTGGTTTAGTGTTTCTTTCCCGCATATTTTTACCAATAAAAAGGCTAGGGTAATCACAAATGCCTATGTCATCATCCGCTCTATTATTACTGTCATCATCATCATATAATGTTTAGTTTTCCTCATGGGATATAATTTTTTCAAATATCATATGTATACGATTGTACAGCTTGTAAACAGATTCGTTGAAAAGAGTCTCTTCACTGAATATCTGGTTCTTGATGTTGCAATGAGAATTATTCAGTTATTAAAAATGAGTGTTAGCTGGGTTTTTTTTTGTATGTGCAAATGGTCACATGTCTATAATAAATAATAGTTGTTTTAAAACCTGATTTCCTGAATTTTTTTTAATGACCATAGTAATATAATTACTAGCACCTAGAATTTGTAAACAAGTTTTCTTACTATAATGTATCCGTAGATAAAAGGTGTCTGATGTCTAGTGGTTGCGCAATTTTGACTACCACCAGTCGTCCGTAATGACGATATTTTAGGTGTTCGTTTTATGTGTGTGTGTGTATTTTAGAGATAAAAGCACAAATGACTAAAGCTGTATGTCCTACTTGTCATCACATATGAAGTTGCGAACCATTTCAAATTCAATAGGATTAATGGTAATAATGAAACTAACTGGGTGATATAAATTCGCATGGATTATTAGAATGATATCTACGAAATCTTTTGACCCTTTGCAGTGTAGAGTTTTATATAAGGATCGAGTGGTCGTTGTTTGACAGTATTTAGATAGTTAGCTGTATCTCATTATTCCTATGCATCATGTTATAAAATTATTTTTCCTCTTCCGTTCCGAACTTAAATTTAAGAGAAAAAACAAACAAGTATTTGATGAAGGTGTCATCGTTTTTTTAATAATCATGATCCAGATATGCTTTAAAAACTGAACGTCAACATCTCTAAGTCAGCTTAACAAAATACGTTTTGTTTTATACAAATTTTATTTCTCATCTTGAATGTTAAAATGACGTTTTTCAAGGTTTTCATATAAATGATTTTTTGTCAGCTATAGAAGTTGATGGTTGTCAGTATTAAACCGTATACAGTGTTCCTTTTTTAGCAAAACTTTGAACCATAATTCAATCCATTACTTGTATCTTGGCTTGATGGTTTAGTGGGTAACGCTCTGGTGTTTGAAGTGGTCGGTCCAGAGTTCGAGTCCCGGTGGGAACGGTCACTGACGAATCTCGGGTAGGACGAAACACACGTTCTGGATTCTACTGCTAGCCACTATCCATCATTAATACTTTGAGATATTGTTATTAACACCTCATTTTATAGTTTCTTATTACACTCAAACAGAATATGTTTGAACTAGTTTATACGCCTCTTTTGTCTTTCTTTGCTGAGTGGGTATTCTTTTCGAAAACACCGTTTTGTCCACATACTGGTTGATAGCACTGGCACTTTGAAGCCGTGGTCGCGGTTGTGTGTCATACTGACTAAATGGGATATTCCGATGGGAGTACATGCTCCCTCGAGACCTTCCCAAGCTGAATAGGTCGATTTGATGGTGGTAAGACAAGCAGTAATAGTGTGAATAGATACTTTATGGTGCGGTTCAAGGAAAACGTCGTACCTCTAGCTGAACTAGATGTGATAACAGCAATTTTTTTCCCATGGATGACCAGAAGTATTATGATGATGTTACCTTCTGTATAGAAAGGAGATCGGTTGAAAAGAGGTGGCCTTTGAAATATCACGCTTTTCCTTCCCTGTGGCAATTCTGAGGCTGAAAGTATGGGTTTATCTTGTCCGGTGTTAGCACTCCACCATCTCCTCCATGTAACCCTCAAACACTCAACTCGTCGTTTCCCCTTTGGATTCCACTCGATGGCCACTCGATGACAATATTGAATTTATTCACAAGTCACTTTCTGTTCTACTAAAAGCTATGTGTTGCTTACATCAAAAACTCTGTCAACTTTTTTGCATTTTGATATGTAAATAAGCCATCATAGGGTTGGTAGAAGACATTCAACAAATAGTGAAACTAAAAACATACTCTTATGTGCTAAAGTCATTTCTATTAAACGAGTTTATTTATGGTCAAAATAAGATTGTCACCAACTTTACAAAAAGTGAGATGTATACGAATCGGTAATCTGTTGTCAATGGATAAAGCTTACCAGTGTGTAGTACTTAGTTCTTATGGGCGTCTATCGGTTGAGTTTTACAATATTACCACTAAACAAAATGACAATGCTGTGATGCAATGGTCTGTATTTTGGTGTTAAATTGTGAGAGTCAACCTAGGTTACCTTCTTATTGTTATTCATCAGCATGGTGTGTGTTGGTAAACATAAGGAAATTGGTGTTCTTTTAGTCATTTGTTTATATAATCTAGCCATACAGGGACGAAGGGTTAGTCGTGGCCTATTTACTTTGCTGGTTAAGTTTTTAATTTCAGCACTGAATTATGCAGGATCACAGAGATAATAACAGAGAAAACCTAAATCCAGGGCTATCCATTAACTCCTTCACTATCTAACATAGAAATGATATACCTCTGGCATTTTTTCCTTTTCTAGAGGCTTTATGATTTCATTTTTTCAATGTATTCTATGTCTTCACTTCTATTAGTAACTGTGAACATATTTTTTTTATTTCTCTCTGAATAATGTTTTATGTGTACACACTTGTTTGTGAGAAAAAAACCTATTTTTTCGTTTATTCATAAATATTTGACTCACTGGTTTGTGTATTTCCTTTCGATTTGAGCTTATTTTGTTTATTCTGTGGAAGAGAAGGGATAAACAGCTGATGTTTGGGTGATGTACAGTCGGATATAGTTACGTCTGGAAACGACTTGTGTTAAATGCTTAAAGCGGATTCACCAGAAGTTCTAATTTTAGGTTCAGTGTTTCCTGACACTGTGAAACAACTTGAAGCATCATCACGTTTACCAGGAGATTTAGAAATTCAACGCTTCCTCAGTATTCAGATCAAACATTTTACTGCTCTAAAGGTATCTGAAAGAGAAAGATTTGTGTGATCACAGAGCCCCTGAGACCTGTCAAACACAGCCTTATGTGGATTGTTGTTTTGAGGTTTGCTTGTTCTAACCTGAACAGAGAAAACCTATATCACCGGTATCGGAAGACCATGAGATAGGCATGAGTTTGTTACTTTTGCGGCCACCAGTTTCCATAGGGAAGGTAGCGTCAACGTGGCACTGTTGGTCATCCAAGGGGAACAGCTTACTGCTGTCATGTCCCACTCAGCCACCAGTACGACTTCATCCTCAGACGCCCATCATAGTGTAGTAACTTACACTACAACGGTAACTGCTTTTCATCTTATCACTATCCAAAAGTCCTTTCTGGTACGGTAGGACCTCGAAGGAACAAGTATTCCAAGCAGTTTGGTATATAGATTCGATAACCACGTCAAGGTAACAGTTTGAATATTTACACTGACCGTTATCTTCAAATTGTTTGTTCTGTCCTACACCTGTGTCTACTTTGATATCACTTTTTCTATCCTCTTGTTCTTTGTATACTACTGTGAAATGTGATGATTTGAGTTAATGCACTTGTATGCTAGGTTCTACATTGATTTTTTTTCTGTCTATCTGTATGTCTGTTGTACCACTCTGATATTCAGGTCACCGATGAATACAATTAAGACTGAATTATGTACACGAATTATTCGTTGTAGTGTCAACATTGTTGGGGCTTAGAGACAGAAACAAGGGTATAAGTTAATGGGTTTTTACTAATCAATTTTTAATTACTCTCGGGTATAGTGACATACTTATGACTAAACTTCATTCATGTCCCAGAAGGATAATTGGTCATTGTTTTGATTGTATATTATACACCATTTTCTTGTAATTGAATTGACTGGATAATGTAGCAGTTAGATGGTATAAAGTTACTATTGAACAGATGAAAGTAATACCATTGTCAAAAGAAGTGAGTGCCGCATGTTTGAAGGCAATTAGTCAGCGGTTCTTAGCTTAAATCTTCTACTTGTTTAAATCCATCAACCTCGGCAGTAGAGGTGAGCGAAATCACGTTTGGACTACAGGATATGAGCATGTTTTCACCAGAATTTGTATGTGTATCTGTATGAAGTGAATCAAGAAAACTAAAGCTGAGGTAGCAACTTCCAGACAGTTACAAGAAACAACTTTCGTGATAGTTGTGGTACTTTATCGCCAACGAGAAAATCTTTATTGATCAAAGCTCTTATGGATTCTAAGCATCCCTGAAGAACATGGACAATCTGTTTGGTCCTATTTCTACAACCTTCATTATGAATATTTGAATCCGGTGAAATTGAATTGGATTAATCATAAAATCTGTTCTGTTATATTCGAAGTAGAATCCACTTATAAAATTAAGCAACTTTCAAGTAATTTATGTCGGAAAAAACTTGTACCTCAAGAGGATAGTTTCTTTGGCTTGTTCTATGAGGTGGTTGATTTAACCATTGTCATTCTAGACAACATTATCAGCACAAACTTCAGAAAGAATTGAACTGTAGGGTAGCTTGTTCTGATGGCCTTTTGTGTGATTGGTTGTTTCTGTCGTTGGCTCAATATTTATTTCGACTAGTTGTCCTACCGACGTGAATTTTGACCTTCATGTTGTTTCTGATTGGTTCATATATTGGGTCAATGTTGAAATGCCTGTTGATCGCTGTTTGACCTGAATACCAAGCTTTTAGAAGTTCTCTGTCGTTTTTTGCATTTCTTCCATCCAGGATTTCCATATTTTTCCTAGTCAAATCCATGCCCACAATTGTCCGTATGTATTATTATGAACGAAAATGTCTTGATGTTTCACTGCTAGTTAATGTTCATGTAAACAGAAACCAATCTGGCGACTACTCTGTCCGACATCATGTTTTTCGCAGTTTCTGTAGTTCATTTTGTGGATAACCTTTAGTTTATCTTTCTTCGCCGTTACATATTTTGGACTGAATAACGGAGAGTGAACGTGTAAGCTGCAGTGATTCCAAAAGGCTTCAATAATCTAGTCATTATATCTCACAGACGTTCTTCATGTAGGGTAGAACAACCTATTTGTTGGTTTTCGGGATTAACTTACTGGTTGACGATGATAGATACAAGTTGCGTGAATAGGCTGTGTTAATGTACTACACCGTGTCTTCGCTCTTTTGAACAACATTTTGTACAAGTGATTTTATATGCCGTTTGGTTTTCGCTACTGTAATTGAGAATTTGTTCCATATTAATTAGTTTCCTGTATACTTCAGTTTCCAATTTCCCCAAATCCGTTCTAGTGATCGGAAAGTCTAGAAATGCAAATTTGTTATTTGATTTCTCTTCAGTTGGAAATTTGATATCGTCAAAACTGCTGTTCATTACTATGTAACCGTGTTTCACTTCATTCTTTTTACTGATGACACACTTGTCATCTACATGTTGGACCCAAAGTTTTAGTTTGATCAACGACAATATCACGGTTTCCAATATTTTACATTACTTCTTTTGCAATAAGTTATAATATAGGGGATCCCGTTGGTGTTTCTTTTCTTCCTTTGTAGAGTTTAACATTGAATTAAAAATATATTGTCAGGTATAAATCAAATAATCCCATCAAACCTGGATATTGCAGCTGTATGTGTTTCGAGGATCGGAAAAGTAAGACAGAGGTTCATTGACCTGAAACCAGTGTGGAGATCTTCTGCACTCAGTATGTGGAACAAGATCCGGATTTTCAACACCAACCTCAGTCAAGTCAGTGCTTCTGTATGGTTCAGAGACTTGGTGCGTTACGAAAGGCATTTCCAACAAACTACAGGCATTCATCAACAACTGAGAAGGCGGATTGGGGACATCACGCGCCATGCTAGGCCCTTGAGTGGAACGCAGATGGGAAACGACAAGATGGGCGTCCGAGATGAGGGTGACATGGAGGAGATCTTGTGAGGAAGAAATGAGAGCTTTTGGGTTGTCGTGGAGCCAGGTTCAAAAGTTTGCAGGGAACAGAGTGCACTGGAGATGTGCTACTGAAGCCCTATGTTCCATTAGGAACCCAAGGTGTTTCAAGAGGTGTGCATCATTGGTGAGAAGAACAGTCGTCAATGCTACTTTTAGAATATACGTTTTTTTTCGACTACTGGAGTCATTCAGTTTTTATCATGATTATTCCTCTTTAATGTTACAGACACATGAATTGATTCAATGGTGTTTCATTTCACCTATTAAAGAAATTCAATGGGGATCGTGTGTTTTATTGTCTCAGTTTTTGGCATTTCGAATATTAGAATTATCTGATCGAAAAAGTGGTAGTCGTTCACCTAGATGTGATCAAATGAAAATTGTAGAAGAAGAACGTACAGCTGGAAGTTTAGTTTGGTCTCTGTTATCTCCTGTTGACAAACCAGGTAATAATATTGACTTATAGAAATTATTTTGATCAGTATATTTACTTCATTGTCATATTCCTTTGTATATCTAATAATTTATCTTGTTTCTAATTAGATTGACCTATGCATGTTCAGTATAAAGCAGAATGTTCTTTGAGCCTTGTAGATATTGACGTCTTATTCTCTTAAGGTTTCCTCTAGAGATCGTATAACATTTCAGGGTATGCTTCAAGAATACTTTCATGTTCTATTTTACTCCTTGTAGTTATTCTGTATATCATTATATATGACGAACTGAGACAGATAGTTTAACATAGGACCTGGCAAACAAGTGCCTCGCTTCAAGTGGACATAGTTCACAACAGCATACAAAGAAAACGAATGACATAAAAGTAGGCAGAATTGTATAAGGTGGGTAAGGATGAAATGATAAAAGCTAATAGAAATATTAAAGACTAAGAAAATGATGAAGAGTGTACACATCGGAATCATTGTGATCGATTGTGAATCATATCACAAAGGTTCTGAGTTCCTTGATTCGCAGTCAGGAAACATATACCTTCCTACATAGTTCACATCAACAGTCAAAATCTTTATATGCTGGTACAAATTCTTGGTTTGGTGTTCATTAGTTTTCTTTCAGCTCAAGCCGATTTTGTGGTCGATTTAGAGTTAGCAGATAATATTGTCCTGTTAGGTGAAGAAGCTTGCCTTGTGCAAGGTCTTTTGAATACGTTGAACAAAATTTTTAGTATGTCTGGCATGCGTTTCTCTGGCGTCTGTTGTGTAAGATGATGCCTCAGGACTGGTATGCTGCAAGTACTCCTATTTTAATGATAGGGAGTAAAGTGGTGGAATGTGTCAACCATTTCACTTGCCTGGGGAGTTGCATCATCGCCAACGGGCTTGTTGCCGATAAAATCTCATCCGGGATACTGAAGGCCCATTTACACTTACCGAGTTGCGTCATCTGTGGCGCCAACTGGTGAGGTATCCGACTCTCAATCAAAGGACGATTATACTGCTGTGTATTCCTTTCTGTCCTGTTATACGGCTGTGAAACATGGTCGTTATAATTAGAAGACATGAAGTGTCCACAGGTTTCCGATGGCAGGTGTCTTTGTGACATTGTTCACGTTTGGTGGGATCATCGTGTGAGCAATGTTGAGGTCAAGCGAAGAGTCCTAGGAAGAATAGGAAAGTTAGTTCATGAAATTGTGAACCTTCATCTTTTGAGGTGGTTCGGATATGTGTTGCGCATACCTAGCTACCACTTTCCTTGATGTGCTTTGCTAGGGGAGTTGGATTGGGTTAGATTATGTTTCAGCGTGCCAAGACCAAGACCTGGCACTAGTTCATGAAGTCTTGTACTGTTCGTCTTAACCGTATGAGGAGATGTAGGCTACTTGACTGGGGTCTCTGGGACGATAGGAATCAGTGGTTATGAACTCTTGGTGACATGGCTGAAAATCGGTCACAGTAGCGCGAATGTATTCACTCTTTGACGTATTCTGAAACTTGAATATTTCCGGTAAACTTTATCTTCAGACAGTTTATTCACTGACACAACTTTGTCTACTTAAATATCACTCTTTTTCTTCGTGTACTACTGTGAAGTGTGGGAACTTGAGGTGATGCGTTTGTGTGCGAGGTTCTACGTTGATTCTTATCGTATACATTGAAGTAAAAAGTGGCTCGACTTATGTTTGTAAACCATCTTCGTTTGTTAGGTTCTACAGTTTTATCAACTGATTTGCCTTTCATCCTTAACACTCTGCACCTTACTTGGAATTCGCTTACACGATGTTCGCAACACATGTGATCAATACAGAAAATACATCTTTTAGAAAAAAACCGTCCATAGCCATCTCACAACCATGCAATAGAACAGAGCAGACTGCTGCACAGTTTGTTTCACCAGTGCCATAAGTAACACATATATTACGGTACTAAGTATTCGATGCACATTTACACAACTAGTTTGATTTCAAAGAGATCAGTGTAGTACATATTTGTAGTAAATTACTGCTCATAAGTAGTTTTGTTAATGAGTGAGGCATTATAATATTTGTAGTCAGTCATTCCATGACCTTGAATACTGCGGCAGATGATGTTAACTGTTTCACTCATAAACTTATGTTCCCCATGGTGCTATATAATATGTAGCTCAGATTAAGCATATTCTTGTAGTTTAACTCTTTCTGTACCAATATATAGACATTAGTCCATTCATTATTCTTAGCAATACAATACTCCGAAACGATATAAAGTAACACTGTAGGTAACATTGTGACTGGTATCGGAAACTTTTCAGGAATACTCAACCTCAATGAACAATAAAGTTATCTGAACGTGTTTCTGTTCTTTGGGAATAACTTGTTATACATAGATAAGTTATATTTTCGTAAATTGTACAACTTCATAATATTGATAAATATTGGCTTGAAGTGGATTCTAGGACGTACGTTTCGTTCTATTTGGGACTCGTCAACTGGGTGTACAATGTTTTAAATAAAATAACTGCAACACTTATTTTATTTATCCTTTTGTTTCTAGCTGCTTTAAGGAAATAATAAATACTAAAATATCTTGAGATAGAAGTGAGAATGAATTGCTAAGATTGGATTTTCAGATGAGACATTGAAATTGTTTCACTTTAGATTGACAGAAATATGACTAGTCTACACTATCTAAGTTGGAATCGTCGTCCAACATTTGTGCAGCCATGGAGTTCCATCTTGACCATTATTTCTTTAAATAAACCTGATGTAATCTGTGTAACTATATATATATATATATATATATATATATATATATATATATTGTTAGCTGATGATTGGAGGTGAGGTGAAAATCTGGGAGTGGTGGTGGCGTCAGGATTCAAACCAGAGACCTCTGGGTCGAAAATGAAGTCACTGGTCCCAATCCTGCCACAGCCTAGATTTCCATTTCACCTACAGTCATCACTCAGTAACAAAATAAGTCTGTCAAATGGCTGCTATCTCAAATCGTCAGACTAATATGAATACACATTTATATTTATATATGTTTGCTTTTCTTTTATTGGTGTAGATGTACAAACTCCAGAAAATTTGCTTAATTTCATCAGAGATTCACATGCAATAACAGTTATTCATGGATTAAGTCTATTGAATAATCTTATGCTTTGTATGTATATTGAATCGAATATGCGTGAAATTCTACCGCATTTTTCAAATGAATTACAATGTCATCAAATATGTCGTTTCCAGTTCAACGTAAACAGTCCAATACCTAAACGTAAACACTTATTAGGATCATCAAGAACTCGAATTATATTAGATGTGAAATATTTAACATGGTTCTTTGATAAACCACTTGATTTATGTGTTAAACTTTTATATCATAACTGTTCAGTTGTCCGACAGTACGCATTACTATGTATAGGTAATGTATTATTTTTATCAAGTGAATTATGCACTGTTATACTTCCTGCAATACCGAAAATTTTATCTCTATTAACTGAAGATAGTTCATCTCGTGTTCGAACAAATGCTGCAGGTAAGTCTTAACTGTTCGTAGATTATCATTTTAACTATCTGAAATTTAGTAGATTAGTGTTTATACTGGGTGATAATTGGAGGTGGTGAAATGAAAATTTAGACCGCGACCGCACTGGAATCATTGATCAATGGGTGTTTCCCTAGAATATCAAAATATTCAATTTCATTGAAAAAATGTGACATACTTTGATTAATTAAAAGAGAACAGAATATCAGTCAGTGGTTAAGACGAGGAGACTTAGTTATAGAGGAGAGGTTAGTTATAACGACAAACTCAAGAATAGTTAACAAATGGTCATAATTATGTGCATAATCTGATAGAAGTTTCTCTAACAAAATAAAACTTAGGAGAAGTTGTACACTCCAAAGGTCCATTCAATGAAAGATCATATGGAATGGTACCTACTTAAATTTTAGTAACTTTTGTCTGTTCAACTACCAACAGGGATTGGTTAAAGCCTTATTTCACACATTTAGAATGATATGTTCCAATGATAAGGTTGAAGAATAGTTGTGAATATCAAGATACTTACGCGATAATGAATATCTATAAGCATTTATCAACAGATATTGAAGAAGAGAAGACAGAAAGTTTAAGAAAGCTACAGTCAACAAAAAGCCTGTATTCATTCGCTTGAATTATAAAAGGTGATTATATTGCTGGAACTGTTAGAAGACTATTGAAGACGTCACTGGCTACAATTTTCTCTGCATTTAATTTAGTTCCTGTATACCAAACAACGTGCTCTTTACTGATATATTGGATCGAACTGTTGGACCTTTCTTGGCAATATGGGCTCTTATGCGGATGCCTTGATATCGCCTGAATATTTATTATGGTGATTCACTTGATTGAGGCTAGCAGAGTAATCCATAGTCAAGTAAATTACTAATGTAGCCTTTATCCCAGTCAAAAGTTGATTAGTTCACTTCCTATGATACATCCAATTGTGTATATCAATTCATGTGTAGCTGACAAAGCAGATACATTGGAAGAACAGAAAGATGGGTGAACCTTAGATTTTCTGAGCATATTCAGAAGAACAAAAGTGTCAGTTTGAATAATGCAATCAGTCAGCATCTTATTAACAGTGGACATCGAACAGACGTCTTCAACTCCTTTAAGGCAATACACTCAGCAGTCAAACCTCGTAGCTCAGTTGGTAGAGCGTCGGGCAGGAAACCCAGATGTTGTTGATTCGAATCCAGTCGCGGTCCGAATTTTTATTTCGCCATCAATCATCACCCAGTATATATATGTATATATCACTGTGGATTGATGTCACATTTTTCCCCAGTTAAACCGACCCGCGCTTTTACTACTGATTGAATAACTATTGAACGATTGTCAAATACTTATTTTCCCTCAGTGTTAAGATACTCATATTTTTATGGTATTGTCAATGTTCGAGTAGAATGAGTCAGTTATTCCTGGTTCTATTGTGTTCTCTGAGCTGGTTGTTTGAAGATGAGACGGCTTCTTCAAGAGTCAAGCTTCCAGAAAAGAATAACTATTCTTTCTTCACGAGTGCCTACGTCAGCATGTTCTACCGAAGACTGTTAGATGTTGACGACCGATTGACTGTCCGGTGGAATGGAAAATAGACACGACTAAACAACTCAGCTCAGAAAATTCAATGCAACCAATACTATCCACCTGAGCTACAAATATTCACCACTTCAGAGTCAGTTATTGAAATTAACTATCACATTATCTAATCCTCTTTCGTAGTTTATAGTAATTAAACATTAGCTGAGTGAACATATTCCTGATTGATGTATAAATTCTATTTTAGGATTCTCATCTTTGTTTATCTCTTGCTTATTTAGTGAATGTAGTTGCATTTGTTCGAATGTTTCTGTTAAAAGTGATGAATCTCTGTGTTTACTGTGGTCTTCATCCTGTCATAAAGTAGTGCAGATATGATGTTGCTTTTATGATCCCGTCGTTGACTGGTTGAGACCGATCGATTCGGTCAAATCAACGACTGGATAATACAAGGAATATCATAAAAAAATATATCCATCTCACAAGAACTGGCTACTTTGACTACTTGGTAGTTTAGTGGACAACGCTCTGGGGTTTGAAGCAAACGTCTCGAGCTAGAGTCTTAGTGAGGAAAATATCTCTCATTGCAAGGCAGGTACAGATAGTTGATTAGTCTTAACTAGGATGAAACTCACGTCCTGGACTCCACTGCTAGCCAAAATGCCTGAAAGCCATTGATCCACCATTCTCTAGTTCATATTACTGGTGAATGTATTGCTGACGTAGAGTGATAACACATTGAAGTACAACAATTTCACGGAGAAACGAAGAAAATTACTCGATATCTTTCATAAAGGGGAATGGTTACCCATGAAACTTTGTCAGAAGATGCCTATCTCGTTCATCACCAACTACTGAATCACCGACAGAAATCAACAAATGGATCATCCCACCGTACATAAAGAGTATATAAAGGATCACGGCAAGATTACTGAAACCATGTGGAATCGGTCTTATCTCATAAACCAACCAATTCCCACTAAAGTTGCTAAATATGTTTGTTTAAGAAAGTTACCACCTTATTTTTTCATTTGGTACGTTTTACTTTTGTGTATCTGAAGATAGCAAGAGACTGGAAGTATTTTCTTCATTTTCCATTAAGAGTTTTGCCAGTATGACTTTTAAAAGTTTTCTTAATAAATACTACTTTTATATGCTTCCATAAAATCTTTAAAATTGTTTATTGTTTCAGCTAATCTTGGAAATATGTGCTATCATATTGATCAGTTATACGATTCAATCAGTAAGAACAAAGTTCTTCCTGCGTAAGTTAATTATGGTTATGGAAATGACTGTTATTAGTTTTCTCCCTGAGTTATAGTTTTTTTTTCTTTGAAAAATCATTATTTATCACTGAAGTGGTCTAGGAAACTATCATTTATTTGAAATTATAAGTTGACTGAGCAACGTTTGGTTTCAGTGGGTTAACATTAGTTGCTTAGTATTTTCTTAATTTAGTCAGAATAAATAGATAGATAGATAGTATTCATCATGGACTGATATCAATCGAACAGTAAGTGCATGATGAATGCAACCTTAAAAAGAAAATCTTCATTAACCTCAAACTTAGCTACTGTATAGTAATCATTAGTGACATTGGTTGTTATGGATATCCTGTAGGAAACCATGACCTTTAGAATCAACCAGTCGGAAGTGGATGATAATTGAAGATCTTGGTAGATAGTTGTGCCGTATCGTAAATTGAACTCGGACCAAATGGCTAAATAGGTAACGCTTTCATCGGGAAACCTCAAGGTCCCAAATTGGATCCGTGACTAGACAGGGTCATGGGTGCATTTTGCTGAGTAGTCCTACGCTCGGACGAAATACCTGTTCAGTACTTTAATTTCTGGTCATTGACATTATTTGCTTATTCCCCTAGTAATTATTTATTTATTTATTATTCGTCCCTTGGGTTCCTACTGGAGCATAGGGCTTCAGTAGCACGTCTCCAATGAGCTTTGTTCTCTGAAATCTTTTGAACATGGCTACACGACAGCCCAGAAGCTCTCACTTCTTCCTCACACCATCTCCTCCATGTCACCTTCATCTCGGACGCCTAACTCGTCGCTTCCCATCTGAGTTCCACTCAAGTGCCTGATGCACGATGTCCCCTAATGGTCTTCTCAGTTTATGCCCAATCTACCTCCACTTCCTTCTGCATATTTGTTGAGTGATAGCTTCTTGGTTGGTTCGTTGGCAGGCCAGAGTTCCTTCTTGCTTATTCTTATTATTCTGGCCATCTGATGTTCAGTAACGGCCCAGCGTAGACAGTTGTTGATGACTATCTGTAGTTTGTTGGAAATCCCTTTCGTGACGCGCCAAGTCTCTCAATTATCACATAGAAGCACTGACTTGAGTGGTGTTGGTGTTGAAAATCCGCATGTTGTTCACGCTTATTGCAGGCTGAGTGCAGAAGATCACACTGATTTCAGGTTAATCAACGCCTGTCTTGATGTCTTTCCTATCCTTGTTGGCTTTGATATCCTCGTCTGTGCCACCACCGCCTGTAGTTGAAAAAGTGCTTCCTAGATAGGTGGAGGAGGCTACTTCCTTCAAGTTTCTGCCGTTGATGGTGATTGGAGCTTGTTGTTGTTCGTGGTGATGTTGGTTGGGTATCTTCATCACCTCTTTCTTCTCAACGTTCACTTGAAGTCCTGTGTTCGCTGTCCTGCCTCTTCTGTCAACTTGTTGCATTTCGCATGTACATCTTCAAGTTTGTGCCACAAGACATTAGATACAAGTCATCGTTGGCGAAATTTTAATCTTCTAGGTTCTTTTCCGCAGTCCAGCGTATCCCACTCTTCTCATAGCTCCTCACTGTTTGTTGCATGATCCAGTCCAGTCGACCATAATCAGGAATATCATGGGTGATAGTAAGCAACCTTGTTTAACTCCTTCCCGTCTTCACTTCACTTTGAAGGCATTACTGAGCTTCCCCTTTTGAAATTACTTGTCATGTGGCGTCTTCATATAGTTGTTGAATAAGATTGAAAAACGTTTGTGGTATTTCGTAGTGTTGAAGCAACTGCCTGCCAAATTACTTATCTGTCGACGATGTGAAAGGTTGGCCTTTTGCAAGTGGATGAAGTTGAGGTAAAGTTGAGTTGACTTCCATTCTATACTCTATTCTATGATAGTGCGAATCGTTGCTATTTGGTCCGCACAAGCCTTATTCTATAATAAACCACTGATGACGGGATTTGATGACTTCATTAGAAGACGATCTGACTGCATCAAATATCAGCTGATTCAGAGACTTCATTAAAATTGGGTATATAAGTCAACGTAAAATGTGACTCCAAGGTATACTTGTGTGAATCAAGGTACACAAATAAATTGGACCTGAAGAGGGGAGTTTAGAAAACGGATGAAAGAATGTTTAGAACTTTGAAGACGGTATAGAGTAGATTCATCTTTATCGCCGATATTTAGTTAGAATAATTTCATAATTATCCTATAACTGTTAATTCTCAACATCTCAAAGACCTACATTCTCTATTCAGCTCAAAATAACAGCTATAGACTATGAAATTTTAGAAGTCTGTTGTCTTTACAACCAGTGCGTGTGGAAAATAAATAACACTTAAGTATTACGCTGTTGTTCTGACACTTTTGCAGTTGTTTCCTAAATACATGGGAACAACCATTAGTAGAACATGTCACTTCCGTATGCACCTTGCAGAAGGATTGAAACGAGTCCTAATTAAAGATATCAGGTTTCAGAACCTGAAATCAGCCCTATAACGAGGAATGAAATAATCGTCTATCTGTCAGTTTCTTGTTCTCCTTTGCATTTTTTTATTGGACGTTTCTTCCATCCTTGTACAAGTCTAATTTACTTGCACAGATTGAATCATTCTTTAACGTTGGCGTGATATAAATGAGTGTAACAAACGTTTGTTGATTCGGAGAGGAAATCCTGCTTTCTTTATTCTTGAAATATATCAGTGTCACATGACGGAGTTGTTTCAGTGAGAATTTTCCTTCGTTCAATAATGAGTTATATGAAAGAGCTTTGTACTTTGAAGAGAAATGTATAGGATCGTATAATTTTGAAATAGTGGAGAATATTTGTAGTTCAGATGGATAGTCTTGGTTGTAGTGTGCTCTCTGAGCTGGGTTGTTTAATCGTGGAGCTTTCATCGTCTTTCTAGACAGTGACATCATCACCACTAACTTCACTATGAAGTGAGTGAGTGAGTGATTTAGTAGCCTGCTCTGGCGAAGTGGTCTGTGATTGGTTGTTTCCTTTGATTGTTGTGTCATTGACTGCATAGATCTATGCGGTCAGCGGAAACAACCAATTACAAACCAGCTGGTCAGGGCAAGCTACTAAATCACTCACGGATAGATACTGACAGCTCACTTCATATTGAATTTAATGGTGATGATGTCTTCTAGAAAGATAATGAAAGCTTCTTGATCAAGCAACCAAGATGTATAGAACTCTCCTATCGATTACCTATAGATAAGTGTATGTTGGTGAGTAATAACTATGCTGTTTTTATCAATCGAAGTGTAAAACTTTGGTACCATGATGGAATGTAATTCCACATTAGATTTCTTTATTTGATTTAGAGTACTCAGAGATTCAGTATTATTTGCTGGATAACGTTTCTGGGACACACAGTAATATGAATATGGATAATGATGATGACACAAGTGAAGGAAGGAACATCAGAAACTTTAATTAGGATTCTCAACATGCTGGGAATTTGGGTAGCATTCAAACCTACAATCTAATTCAACGATGAGGTTTTTTGGCTTAAGGATCCACTAGATCCAATTAGGCAAAATAGTCTAATCTACCGAATCCCATGCAGTAACTTTGAGATCAAATACACAGGTCAAACTGGCCGATCAGGGTCAGTAAGACTATAGAAACATAGGGATTCAGCCGAATGTAGGATAATAGAACTCAATAGGATCGATAATCTGTAAAAACACTCAGCTATTGTAATTGACACATTGGGGTGGGATAAAGCCACTCTACTCAAGTGCAATATAATCAGGTAGAGAGAGAGATTAATTACCGAATCTCTGTCCATCAACACCGCCAACACCTATACCAGAGATATGGAAAATTTTGCAACCAATAAAAACAAATAATATGAGGTAACAGGACTATAGTATTCAGATGTTGAAAGCTATTTGATTGATTACATTGATATGATTATGAACCACTGGGTGGGTGCGCACTGCTGAGGAGTCCCATATTAGGACGAAACAGCTGTCCAGTGCTCCCAGATTTCCTTCGTTCCTCTAACTAATGTCAGTCTACGATGAATAACAACATGATTATGAGCAATAATTTATGCTCAAAACATCATCAAGTAAATATTACTATGTCCTGTATAAAACAAACTAATCTTATATGGGAATACGCTGTTTTTGTTTGTACAACTTTCTGACCTATATTCAGGTATTTATTCAGCCATTTTTACTGTTTGATGATCGAAATAACATGAAAATCATAATAATAATAATGATAATAATAATTAGAAGACGTGGAACATGTGATGAAACCAGGCGATATGTTCTGTGAGAGAGAGAGACAACGAAACATGGAGATAATAGAACAATATAATTATTGACATTAGGTGAAAAGAACGAAAAACAATTTGTCCTGAAATGACACACATACTTGTTTGTTCTTCAAAATAACTTCGTGCCGCAACATGAAATTATCTATTACCATAATTTTCTCAGTTGAAATAGTTTATCTTTACGCTAATAAGCTTGAAAAAAATAATATTTTTCTATGGTGATACAAAATATCCCTGTTTTTTAAACTACAGGAAAATGAATATAGCTTAAATTTGGTATCAGCTAGCAAGTTAATAAATGTCATTTATCAGCAACATGTTAAATCGATTTAAAAAGTTTTCATTCTAATGATTATTAGTCGCTATCATTGGATTCCATGATACGCATTTCATCTTTTTCAAGGTTCGTCAACCCGGTGTATCTACCTCCTATTGAATGATGTTTTGCCAAGACTCTAATCCAGAGCCAATCCCTTTAGAAACTAGTGTGTTATCCAGTGGTTTGATGAATCACGGTAACCACTCATTTTACGATGATTATGGTTTAGTGTTTAGTGTAAAGGCTTGTGAATCTCCATCGTTGATTGAAACGAATTGATTGCCACTATTTTAACAGTATTTCTTCAGAATAACTATTCATACTTATATCAGCAAATACACATATAAACATGAAAGGGGTTATATTTTCAAGTTGTTATTCATTGTAGACTGACATC